GTCATTTGGAATAGTTGTCTGCTTTTCATCTTCTTTGCACAACTTATATAGATTGCTACAAAGTATTTTTAACCAAGGATCAAAGTATTGAAAAGTTGGAAAAACAATTTAAATAGACGTATAACACACTAAGGTATATTTTGGATAAACATGGTTATGGAAGAAAAATCAAATTACATGCAAGGACTAAAGTACCGGCATCGGGTATCGTATCAGACAATTTGGATGTGGATAGCTTTGGAAATACATGGATACGACTTAAAGATATAGAAACACTTGGATACACCAAGGAAATACATATAAATCACAAAAATACATTAATAATGTTAACAAAAAGCTGAATTATCTATTAATAAGATATAAACACWAGAGAAATGCATATTTCAATAGGTCATATGAAGAGAAATATTACAATAAACAATATCGGGACTCTAGAACGTTCCAGCATCATACACTAATTACCACTCTTTCAATTTTATAATTATAACTTTCAATTTTATTAATGTTTGGSAATATTTGTTAATTTGGTATTTTTATTTAAATAACAACTATTTTTAATTAATAATAATTTTTCATTTTTAATATATAATGCTTTTGTTTTACATATAATTTTAAAATAAATCATTTAAGGTAGATAAAATAAATTATTTATTATTTTCAGTTTTTATTAATTTTTTGGGGGAAATTAAATCTTAAATTATTCATTTCAATTTTTATAATTATAATTTTTTGTTTTCATTAACTTTGTTRGGAAATTTTATTTATTTAGTATTTTTATATAATAACTATTTTTCAAATAATAACTATGTTTTCATTTTCAACATATAATTATGTGTRAAATAAAAAATATAAATCATCTAAGGTAGATGAAATATATTATTTCTATAATTTTAGTTTTTATTAAAATTTATGAAAAAAATTAAATCTTAAATTAYTTATTTCTGTTTTCAAAATACTATTTTTAATTTTTATTAAGGATGAAAAACAATCTAAAAGTACTCAATATACARTTTTGTCAAACTAGGCACGAATAYGCCTCCATATCRRTGYGTATTGAACCATATCCACCGATACGACATGATACRGACYATWTCCACTGACTCGTAGGATACATATCTAGTTGTGGCATATCTTGTATCMTTGACTATGGATACGGATATGATACGCCGTGTCGTATCGATACCTTAATCTTTGGTTACATGTAAACATAAAAGTACATTGTTGTGCATATAAAAAAATCTCTTTAATGGTMTCTATGGAAAAATATTATAATCTTTTTTTAGGCTAACATATTATAATTCAACATGTGGAATACAAAATGATAGAAGATTCATAAATGATAAATCTAAGAAATAAATCATATTCATATACAAAAGACTTAAATTTTGATTTACATAGATTRTATGCTTAACCACTAAATAATGTTGGTAAATTAAATGGCTAGACACRAATTATACACTTAATATTTAAAACTAGTGGTGGTGTTGTATTTCTACTTTTTTATGTGTAGAATAGTAGAAAAAATTTCTTTTCTTTTTTAGTTATTGAGGTTCAAACTTTCCTTTTTATATAGCTTATATATCATGAGAAGAACATAAGCAAAGTGACTTAGTTGATACTTTATTTAGTTAGTTGTTTTGGGTTGAGGCAATGGGTTGCTTCCCATCGTGTAGCCCTATAAAGCCAAAAAAGCTGTGCTTAGCATGAGATTAATAACCAAGTAAAAAAAATCAAAATTGAATTGATTAAGATAACCAAAAACTCGCATTAAGTTCTTTCTTACTACATTTTATCATTGAACCAAAACAATCCATTAAAATGTATATTAAATTAAATTAATAAAAACAAAGAGAAAAACCTGAACCCATGGAAAGGAGCAAAATAGAGGGAAAAACTTGATAACCCAAGGAAAAGAGCAATAATTTGTTTAGATTGGTTCATCCCATGTACTAGTGGGMAAATTTGGGTTTCTTTACATTAATTTGGGTCCAAGCTTAGGTTCATATTTAATGGGGAGGGAAGATGTTACAAACATTGGCTATTAAGGAGAGAGAGAGAGAG